GGGGCGGCGGCCGAACCCGCCGAGCTCATCCGGCGCGCTCACGAGTTCAAGAGCCAAGGGGCGCAGTGCTACAAGGACAAGAAATTTCGCGAAGCCATCGGCAAATACCACCGCGCGTTGCTAGAGCTGAAGGGGCTGCTGCCGCCCCCCGGGGAACGGGAGCGGGACTCGCACGCGGCCCCCCTGCCCGGGGCCCCCAAACCCAGCTGCCTCTCGGAGGAGCAGAGCAAGACCGTAGAAGCCATCGAGGTCGACTGCTACAACAGCCTGGCAGGTGAGCCGTGCCACGCCGCGCCCCCGGCCCCTCCTCCCCTGCCATTCCCGCCTCCGGGCCCCTATTCCTCCCCGTCACGTCGACCACTGCGGTGCGCCCGCGGTGCAGACTCCCCCGCCGTGACCGTGCCTGCTCTGGGGCGGAGAAGCCGTGGGAGGGGGGTGCGCTTTGGAGAAAGTGTGACTTTTAGGATTATGCATTGCAAAGGCCATAGTCATCTCGCATCCCTTCCCGCATACACCGTAAATCTCACCTATAAATAACTGGGACAGATAGGACAGGGCACACTGCTTGGTGGCGGCTGCTACTGCTACTACTCCCGGAGGACCTGGGTCAAATGCGGGAAGCAGCGCCCCAGGTGGGTCATCCGCACCCATCCCAAGACCCGCGTTTCCCTGCTAGAGGGCCCTGGAGGCAGCCCACGCATCTGGCTGCTGTCAGGTGTCATAGGCACCAGAGCTGGCTCACACCATCTCTCCAGGTGACCGCATCCCCGTGGTAGGGTCCTTCCCCAAGTTCCTTTGGCCCCAGTGGCAAAGGGCAGTTTGCCATGATGCCTTCAACATCTTAAGCAAAATGGATTCCAAAATGCCACTTTCTTCTCTCTGAGCAATGCTAGGGCTTCCCGTTGCCAGGTGAGGAGAGACAGCTCAAAGGAAACACAGCTCATGCTTGGGCTTGAGCCATGCCCCGATTTAAGACAAAAACTTCTGCTTCATTGTCACCAGGTGTAGCTGGGTGCTCTGGGTGAGGAAAAGGGGGGTCCTTCTATTGGGATAAGAAAGTGTACATTCCAGAGTTTCCTTCCGGGATTAGGGTCAAAGTTGGGTATTTAAATAATAATAATTTAGGTACAGGAAAATGTAAAGTCTCTAAAAAAGGAAGAGCGTGAGCCTTTCCAGGGCCCTTTTGTGACAAGGGAGCTCTGGTGGTGTAGTGCCTAAGACATTTGCCTGCTAACCAGAAGGCTGGCGGTTCAAACCCACCAGCCACTCCTGGGAAGGAAGATTGGACAATCTTCTGTAGAGATACCGCCTCAGAAACTCAAGGAGGGGTCACTATGAGTTGGATTAGACTCCATGGCAGTGAATTTGGTTTGTTTTTTTGTGACAAGGTGGCAGAAGTTGGCAGAAGCATTGGCCTTAAATTTGAGAAGCAGTCTCTCCTCGTGTCTCACTCATGTGGTAGGATTCTGGCATGGTCAGGCTCCTTCCACCAACTAAAAAGGGTCGTTTTCTCCAAGCTTCTAACCTTTGAAGTTACCTCAACTGGCGAGGAAAGGGCACCCTTGGAACTGTGACTGGGTGTGGCTGGGAGGTGGATGTGTCTTGGGCCAGGCAGTTGGGGTGATGAAAGTAAATACATACACTAATGTTCTGCTCTAAGTGCAGACTTGCTCCATTCTCTGTGAGGTTTCTTGTGCCAGCTCATCTCTGCCTTCCCATAATGGCATGTCCAGTGGCATCTTTAATCAGGTGAAACTCAGACCACTTTGTAAATTGTGAAGCAGTATACAAATTTAAAGGATTGATAGTAACAGTGGTAATAGCCACTGTTAGAGAAATGGTGATGCTGGTAGCAGAACTAGTACTAACTAACAGCTGCAGATAAAGTAGTAGTACACCAAAGATGGAATACTGAAATCCATCATGAGTTTGGCTTGATTCCCTTTATTTCCTGTAAGTCTCTGGCATGCACGCTGCTGCCCAATGAATAGTTAAAGGGCTCAGCGGCTATGGGTGGAGGAAGAGGCACTGTGGATCACTAATGCGGTGATTGCTGAGTGGTAATGGAGTCTTATATTCAGTGTTATCCATGGGCATTCTAGGGCTGCCCCTCACCCCACGCCTTTGGCTGCCTGCCAGTGGCTAGCACTGCCTGCCTTCCACCCCAGAAGTGGCTACATTTCCATCCTGAAACCAAAGATGTGTCCTTGGTCTCAGCCAGCTCAGTCAGGGTGGGGCTGAGATCTGGACAGCTCCTCCATCCCCACCCCCACCCCCCACACACTTTGGAAGGGGAATGGAGTGTGACAGTAGTAGATGTCCCCCACTTATAAATCATTTATTATGTTCACTGAGCTGGGCACCCTACACATACCCATCTTTTCTCATCTTCGTAATAACTTGATGAAAGAAATATGATCATCAGCTTTGCAGAGAAGAAAAACAAAACTCCAAAGTCGTTGAGCTCCAAAGCCAATGATCTTGTCATCACAACTTGATGCACAAAATCAGTATCCTTTGGGTCTCTGTCTCCCCTCAGCCCAATCTTAGGTGGGCTCTGAAACCCTATACTTTGAGAAGCTCTTAGCTCTGGTGAGGGGGAGAAAGAAATATTGTCCCTTGGTTCAGGGCTCTAGTAAGCCTATTTCCAAATGTTGTCAAATTTCACCTAAGAAAGAAAAGAAAGGAAGAGAGATTACAAGCTGAGTGGTTTTATCAAAGCCCAAATCTATATCTATCCTGTAGAGAAAATTCAGCTGATGGGAGGGTGTTCCACGTACAAATTACTTGAGGGGAGAAATAGATAGAAACCTGATGTTGGTTTCCTTTTGGGTGATATGTAAAATTGGGTATTACCATCTCGGAAATTCCAGCTATTAAGAACGTATCCTTTCTTGTTGGATTACAAAAGTGAAACATACTTATAATAAGTATTTTTCTTTTAGAAAATACTGAAAAGTTTAAAGAGAAAAAAAAAAAAACACTACATCTAATCTCACCATCTCAAGAAATCTATTGTGGTATATTTCCTTCCTGTATTTTTTCTGTACATATTGTGAGCTATTTACAAAGGTAAGGGCCTCCTATGTATACAGTCATGTATCCTGCTTTTCTTCTCACTTACTATTATTGTCAAAAACGTTTTTATATTTCATTAAAATACTTTCATGGAGATTATGTTAAATGGAGACAAAATTTTAAAACGTGTGTTTATAATCACTTGATAGAAAGGGAAGGACAGATGATCCCTGTTCTTGTTGTTAGAGCCAAGACAGTGTCGCGTGACCCTTGAGATATCATTCCCCCATGTGCCTGCTAAAAGGAGGGAGACCGACAACAGCAGGTTTATTCTGGCAGAAAGGCTGCTGACCCTTCCATGGAATCAGCAGTTGGCTGAGCAGCCCAGTGGGCTCCAGGCGTGAGCAATCTGAAGATATTTTCTAAAGGATTTGACCTTCTGCAGAGTTTTGCTTAAAGGGAGAGGCTTGGAGTTAGAAGGAAAGTTGGACTAGCCCAGAAGCACCTGGAGGATTAGGCTGTTGCTAAGGTGTCTCTGCTCCAAACAAGAGCCTGTTGTGAGGCTTTTGGAGGAAACCTAGGATCTGTGGGCCCTGTAGTGTGCATGGAAAGCTCTAAGAGAATAGCAATGGGGCAGCTAGAATGTTCCAAGAGCTGTCTCTCCAAAAAATCCATTTAGGTGACTTGGGACCATATCAGAGATGCACAGGCAATTTGTGAAGTCCTCATGCTCATCTCTATTTGGGCTTAGAGTTCCTTCTGATTGGAAGGGATCTGGCCCTTGAACTTGATTTTGCATACCTTACTCTCTAAAAAATGGAGCTGTGGTGGCATAGTGCCTAAGGCATTTGACTGCTAACCAGAAGGCTGGCAGTTCAAACCCACCAGCCATTCCTCAGAAGGAAGGTTGGGCAACCTACTTCTGTAGTGATACCACCTAGGAAACCCAAGGAGGGGTTGGTATGAGTCGGATCCGACTCAGTGGCAGTGAGTTTGGTTTTTTTTGGTGATTTCTCTAAGAAATTCAAGGAAAGAGATGGGGGCATCCTGTTCCTTTGGAATTTCAAATGACTCATACAGTGATTAGAAAAGACACTCTGGCCTGCTTGGCAAAGCTAGGAATTTGATATTCACAGAGGCTACAGAGAGGGCACCACATTGGCTTGTTGGTACTCCGACCTTGAACAAGACATGGGACTCCCCTCTGGCCTTGGAATGTTCTTTGTAAAACTCCTTGAAGGGCAGAGGCTTTTACGCTACATCTGTTCCTAAGGGACTGTGGGGCTCCCAGCTGAGATATGATCAAAGATTGTAACACATAATGACTTTGCTGGTATTTTCAAATGATGTTTGAAGCTCTGATGCCAGCAATGTAGTATAGAGAGTCCTAACGGGTCATAGCATTGGACCTGAAGGCTAGGAGTACTGCCCCTCTATCTGTGGGACAGACACTATGTGACCTTGAGTAAGCCCCCTACCACTTCATTTACCTTCATTTTTCCATTCATGGGGAACTATGTTTGGGAGAAACATTATTGTTGTTGTTGATCATTTTCCCAAAAGGGCAAATAATATCCATTGACTCCAACTGAAGGCTCAGGACAGAGGCATGGCAGGGAATGCAAGGTCAGTGAAGTCAGTCTTAGAAAAGGCTTGGGCTGGGGCCTTCTGGAACCAGCCTTATTAGTGCTTATGGACATGGCTTAAAGTGGTGGGACCAGGACTTACTATGCAATTAGCAAGGCCCAAAGCAAAATGAAAATATGGGGCTCCTGTTCAAAAAATGGGAGCTCTGGTGACGTAGTACCTGAGGTATTTGACTGCTAATCAGAAGGCTAGCAGTTCAA